CGGAATTTGGAGAATCGATATCACCTGAGATCGAATAAGCGTCGCGCGAATGAGAGAGAGAGACGGCAGTGAGAAGTAAAAGCTTTAAGAGGACGAACAAAAACCCTAATGGCACTCTTTATATACTACGTCACAATTAGGGTTTTTGGGCTCTCATGGAGCTGTCAAAATGGGCTTCCATTTTTGTTTATCCAGTATAGAACCGGGTTAACGGGTTTGTCTCCACCGGTTTGTTGGTACGGTTGAAGGAAATAAACCAACTTTTTTTGATGAAATTATTTTTAGGTTATCTATATAATTATATATGAAGTGTGAAATCCTACGTGGCGCCCTCAGAATGAATTTGAGAGTGGTTGATTACAAGGATACNCTNTTCTAAAAAATAAAAATACATGTTATGCCATTATTAATACGGTTTCGGTTATATTAANCGCATTATCAATACGAGTTNGGTTACGTTNATTCNGTTTAANTTATTCTCGGTTTAAGTTATGCATAAGNCCAATATGTTAATTCGTTCATAAGCCCAATTCAAAAGGTTCGGTTATTACCATCGTTAACTTATATATGTTAAATATTCGGTCAATATTTAATGATGAAGATATAGCAATATTTAATGATGAAGATATACAATATTAGTGCGGATTCTTTAATATAATAAATGTATGAAAATGTCAATTTTCTGTTATAATTATATATGTTATAACCGACTTACATAGAATTTAGGAAATCTTATATTATGTGATCCGTATTAATGGTAATGTGTATATCCTAATTACTTATTAATTATATATATATATAAATTATCTACGCCCTATATATACCCACATAAAGGTTATATATTTTTAACTTCAACCAAGTCATTGATTATTGAAAACATGTCTTTCCTCAAGAAAAAATCACCCTCAATAGTTCCTCTCAAAGATTTGAGGCCGTCCATGACTCAGGAAATAATCAAGGTTATTATACTAAAACTCTGGACAAAAAAATCTAAAGATGGATACTACACAGATATGATTTTGGTTGATGATCAGGTATACCTTTTACAAAAATTATTCTATTACCTATATACCTACAATTAATTTTATAATATGTAATTTATTGGATTGTGTAGGGTGTACTTATTCATGCAACCGTAGAGAAAGATGTGTTTGAAAAACTTGATAAACTATTATTGATAGAAGGTCAATCGGTACTTATTGAGGCTTTCAAAGTCGTCAAATACCTTGGTGACTACAGGACAAATACACATCCTTTCAAGATCAATTTTTTCTGAACAACTCAAGTCACCAAGTGTGACGATTTCCCTACCGTTCCCGAAAAATATATAGCTGATTTTATGGATATATCAGCTGGTGTATATGACAAGAGTTGTTTAATCGGTAAGTTGATATATATGTCTACTACTTATATATCATGTCACTAATTCATATTAAACGTTTTATTATTCTTTAGATGTACTTGGGCAAATTGTCGAAGTCAAACCTCTCGGAGATATTTCTTTCAACGGAAAGACGTTGTCTAAGCTAGACGTCGAGTTTAGAGATGCATTGTAAGATTTTTTCTCCCTCAAATATATTTTACTATATTTAATCTCTTCAAATATAAAAAACTTCATTTGTTTAAACAATTAGGTCTTCCAAATTGTCCTGCACCCTATGGGGTGATTATGCTAAACTATTTTGGGAAGAAAGCATAAAGTATGCGGCCTCTAAAACTGTGTGTCTACTACGATTTGTCGTAGCTAAACTATATAGAGGTACATTCTATGGTATTATTATCTAGTCTGTTTGTTTTATTGCTATATACTTTTCTTAGTTTATTTGATTAATTATCATAGGTGAATGGACCATTACCAACTCCTTTGATGCGACTCAGTTTTTGTTCAATCCTACAATACCGGAAGTCGCTAGGTTTAACACACTGTACGTGATTAATGTTATGAGTTATTAAGTATATATACTATCATGTTCTTACTAATTTGATATTCCAATATAAACATCTTGTAGGCTTCCTGCTGATGATCTCACACTTACAATTGTGGAAAACAGTCATACTAATCTCACTCCTCGTGTTCCATTGTACGAAGAATTTTTCCTCCTTAATAAGAAGAAGACCATATACGATATTGTTAACTCCGCAGAGGTAATTTCATAATACATTGGTTTTATATATAATTTACTCCATCTCAATCGTGATTATTTTTTTCTTTTCAATTCCTTAGGAATATCAGTGTGTGACCGTCGGAATTATAGATTCTATTGATGAAAGCTCCTGGTATTATATCATCTGCCTTGGATGTAAGCAAACTGTTCAACCATATCCAGCTAATGGTGATGTTCCCATATTTGATTGTGTGAAATGTGGTAGGATATCAGGCTTATCAGGCGATAGTGATTTAGGCGATAGATAATGATTTATTACAAAAATGTTATTTTTTGTGTGCATATTTGCAAAAATGCCATTTATGGGTGTCCATTTACAAAAATGCCACTAATTATAGATTTATAAAGCCTATATCTTAAAATTCTAAACCCAAAAAAATGTTTTGACACCTAAAACCCCATAAACACTCAAAACTAAACCTTAATAGAACATAATTAACCCAAACATAAATAATATAAAGAAAAAATAATTTTGAAAAAGTGGCATTTTTGTAAAGATTTCAAAAGTGTGACATTTTTGTAAAGTGGCACTTAGAAAGTGGCATTTTTTGAAATTTTTTTTTTTTAAAGCACAACAATTATTTAATGTAAAATCTGTAGTGATAATGTAAAAAGGATTAATTGGCTTAATAACAAAAAAAAAATCTAAATAAATAAAGGACAATTATAAAAATACTATTTTTTGTGTGCACATTTGCAAGAATGCCACTTAGAGGTGTCTATTTACAGAAATACCACTAATGATAGATTTATAAAACCTATATCTTAAAATTCTAAACCCTAAAAAAATGTTTTGACACCTAAAACCTTCTAAACACTCAAAACTAAACCCTAATAGAACATAATTAACTCAAATATATATAATATAAAAAAAATAATTTTGAAAAAGTGGTATTTTTGTAAAGATTTAAAAAAAGTGACATTTTTGTAAAATGATATTTGAAAAGTGGTATTTTTTGAAATTTCTCAATAAAATAAACAACAAAATACCCTAAATTTAATGGCTATTATTTAGTCAAATAGGATTATTTTGGTTATTTATTTAGATATGATTTTTTTTAGATTATTAAGCAAATTAACCCAAATGTAATAAGCAAATTAGATATAGCTTTTATC